GTGTGTGTGTGTGTGTGTGTGTGTGTGTGTGTGTGTGTGTGTGTGTGCGCGTGTTGACAGCATGTTTGTTTGAGTGTGAGAATAGGGCCGGGTTTCCCCCGCAGATAAATGCTCTCAGTCGGTTGTTGGTGGCAGATTCCTATCAGTGAGCCATCAGCATTCGACCCAGCCCGTCTGTCTGTGGCCAGTGATCGGCCCGATGAGTTATGGTGCCCTGTACTGTTCTGTAATCCCCTAGAGCCTGTCTGTCTGCAGCCGCCTCCCTTGTACACACACGCACAGACCAACAAAGACACAAGCGCTCTTATAGTCGGAGCTCAGAAACAACACTTGTTTTCTTTCTCCGTCTCGCACATGCACACAGTCATCGGGGATCGGCAGAGTACACGTATACATTTGAATGTTTAAAATGGGTGTATGCAGGGCTGTTGTTCTACAGTAACAGTAAATATCTATTGAATTTCTTTAATTGCAGAATTAGAAAATACTCGGCCAGCGAAAGGGGAACTGCTCTCTATGAAGTCTGTAGATCCACACACAGTGTTCTGGACTCGATTACACAACCACAACCTCCTTTACATGAACTTGCTTTTTATAGAAATCATGTTGCTCATGCTAGTGGCGTGTAAAATCATTCATGCCTCCACACTCGCATTCATAGACGGTCTGGATTTTTCCCCAGAAACAAGCACTGGCCATTGGCAAAGCAAAGCCGTGCTTCATTTGCGTCGCCATGTTGACGTGTGGGTGGATAGATAGGATGTCTCTTCTTTTACACACTCTGCTGTCTGAGTCTGACCGAGAGTCTGCAGGAGGATTAACACCAGACAAGCAACTCGCAGCTTTTTGGCCCTCTCCTGTCTCCTCTGTCCTGTCTCCTCTGTCCTGTCTCCTCTGTCCTGTCTCCTCTGTCCTGTCCTCTGTCCTCTGTCCTGTCCTCTGTCCTCTGTCCTGTCTCCTCTCTCCTCTCCTCTGTCCTCTGTCCTGTCTCCTCTCTCCTCTGTCCTCTGTCCTCTGTCCTGTCTCCTCTCTCCTCTCCTCTCTCCTCTGTCCTGTCCTCTGTCCTGTCTCCTCTCTCCTCTGTCCTGTCCTCTGTCCTGTCTCCTCTGTCCTGTCTCCTCTCTCCTCTGTCCTGTCCTCTGTCCTGTCTCCTCTCTCCTCTGTCCTGTCCTCTGTCCTGTCTCCTCTGTCCTCTGTCCTGTCTCCTCTCTCCTCTCCTCTCTCCTCTGTCCTGTCTCCTCTTATTAAAATAATAAACCGTACACCAGCAACTTGGTAGAAAATCGTAAAATCAAAATTAGGAGGAATTATGATTCAATTGTTAAACCTTTTAAATGCAACAAATTGGTCAAAACTTTTACAGAAATTAAAATTCCAGTATATACTTTATATAGTAAATAAACGTAGAAATGAATTGAACAGATCCAATAAAATAGACCCGTTGTCACCGATATCCGATCCAGCTATTTGAGTCGGTATCGGCCTGATTTCCGTTATCGTTATCGTTGCATTCCTAACTCGTTACCACGTCATGTTCTCCTGTCCACTACTCTACTCTCCATGTACTTTTTGTGTGTTTTCCTGTAATTCTTAGTGCACACACACACACACACATACACAATACTATTTAAGCCATCCATCTGCCTGCAAGCAGACAGCCATGAGATGAAGATAACTCCAGTCCAATCCTCATGTTTCACATTGCTGCCATCAAGAAGCTAACGGCAGCTCTGCGTCTCTTATAGTCCGAGGGCGTTGGTCCCAATCTACTCTGTTGATTACTGCTGACAGCTACACAAACACACACGCATCTTGTATGTGGGTTAGGTCCTCATTAGGATAGCACACTTAACACAACATTTGGTGGTCACATTGTGCAAGTGTATTATGTGATTCATTTCACGCTTCAGCCCAAGCTTTTTGTTATGATTCTCAGCATTTGATACAAAACAAAGTGTCTGGAATGTTTTCATGTTTTTGTTTGAAGGGTTTTGGATGAAAATGCTTTGAGTGTATATTTTCATCTGTGTGAGATTATCAGAATAGTGTGTTTGTTTATCGTCTGTACAGCATGTTTCCCCGTGTGCACTTTTGGATAATCATCTAGAGTTGGGCGTACTTGTGTGTGTGTGTGTGTGTGTACAGTATCTGTGTGCTTGGCCGAGGCATTGGCCTGAAGCCCTGTCATATTTCATTCACTGCTATGCAAGTTAATAAGTAAGTAGCACATTCCGTCTCTGTTCACCATGCGTTCACATCTCTGTCTGCATGATGTGAGAGCACATGTTGATTCACAGAGATTTAGTCTATTTTGGGGATTTATATATATATTGACTAATGAACAAGCTATTGACTTGCACTGAAATGTTGTACAGACAATTGTGCTCCCCTTGCTTTTCCTTCAGTGCCACCAGTAAGTCAAGGCTTTCACGTATCCTGAGAAACATATTTAAGAACCCAAACAGACCTTTTCAGGTTTTAAACATCTCATATAACTGAGTGTTTACAGTACATGGTCATTATTCAGTGGCGACGACTTAAATGACCGATTTCTTTTGATGTAGAAGAAGATGACCTGTTCTAAGCTAGGCTAGCAGTTTACCCTTTGCATACAGTCTTATGTGTGATGGATTTTTTTCCCTCAATCCATAATATATCGATTGCATTCCCATCGGCCTCAGTTGTACTTTGTGTTTTAATGCTAGTTAGCAAATATTAGCATGCTGACACGCTATTCGAAGATGGTGATCATGTTGGACTGATTTCAATCACTAGGAAGTACTGCAGCGCTTCTTAAGGAAAGTAAGGGAATGATATTCCTCCAATCAACAGTGCAATAACAGCAGCATCGTTAAGTAGCGTGTGTGTGTGTTTGACAATACCCATGATATGAATCTGGGTTTGGTACGAGCTTATTGTCAGGTGAGGTAGATATCGGGGGGAAGACGTGGTTGTAGAAGGGATGCTTTGCAGCCTGCGTCTGCATATTTGGAAAGACTCTGCAGATATCTCATTGTGTGATGATATTTTGGTTTGAATGTAGAAGTTGATTTTGTGCCAGGAGTCGTGTCTGGTGGCGGTGGTGATTATGTAAGACGACACACAGCCTTCTGTTCTAAAAACCAAGGCTTAGTCAAACATTCAAATCTTTTGCTGCAGAAACTTGTATTACGGTCAGTTTCTGAGCCTGTTTTAATGGCTTTAAATAAGCATTGACGGTGTGTAAATATTCTAAGGAGACCAGTAGAGATTTGGAGGCAACGAATAGTTTCCAGAGATGTTATGGATACGGGCTCAAGTGAAATAAATAAGACTTTGTGGGTGCAGTTGTGTTGCGTGTCTCATGGTAGGATGCCTTTAATGGCCCCCGAGTCCTGGAGCCCAGATTCTGTTTCCAGCGTGCCAGCCTCTGTGTCCGTGTGTGACTTTCTCCCCCCCCCCCACACACTTTCTCCTTCCCTTTTCCTCCTCTTCATGTCCTCCTCCTCCTCCTCTTTTTCCACTGGGCGGCTGGCCAGGGCCGGAGCAGGCCTGAGCAGTGTAACATTATTGGGTTTATGTGGTGGGCAGGCAGAGGGAACCGAGCCAGACGGATAACAAACAGCACCCACTAAGGTAAAATAGAGGTGTGTGTGTGTGTGTGTGTGTGTGTGTGTGTGTGTGTGTGT